AGCCTTATCCAGATGGACCTCATAGAAATGACAACCAATACACACAGTGTCTGGAACTACAGTATACAACGTGAAATACAATATTAGTCTGTCCTTAACGTTCGATTGAAGAATAACACGAATTACACTCCAATTGCTCTCAAGCACATACGTCGCATACTGCAATCAGATGCAGGAATGGGTATCAATATAGGCAAAACATGATTGATAGCACATCCATGTGTACATTTCACGTGATTGCCATATGAAATGTGTTTTCATAATAACTTTTGGTGACCATCCTCCCATCGTACAAATTATAGCAACAGTACACAGAACAACATAATAGAATACAATCATTTTTGATAGAAAGCTGTTTTGTATTGAACATCTGATATTTTGTAACCGACAAACATAACTTTATTACTTACGATCACAAGAACAAGTACTGCCATTTGGTAATTCTTCACCAAACTGTAGGGAAAACAAAACGATTACAACTAAACCTAGTTATTGCCTATTAGTAGGTGCTGAAATAAGTCATTTACTGATACTGATGTTTATTGGAAAGAACGTGAAGTTTTTCTTCCACCCGTACATGACCATTTTATCACACTTTATCTACCGAGGTTAGGATACTAATGCATTTCTTGTGATGCAGTATAGGTTAGAATTAAATGCTAATTAGATCCTAATTATAATCGGGCTTAATACTCTTTAATTGAAGCTGTCTCATTCATGTTTATTGACATATTATCCACTGATCAACAAAACATTACCAAAGTTGAACATACAATTAATTTGGATTTCATATTAAGTGTCACTCTGCTTGATAATTGTTGTTCAGTCAAAACAGCCCATGGATAAACAAATAACATGACGTTTAATGTGATGGATAACAGTTTAATGTATTTTTAGACAAAATAAAAAAAAATGGGAAATTTCCTAAAAATCATCATGTCACAAGAAAGTTCACTCCGGGTTGAGACAGGCAATTTTCACATTCCTTGTCAGTTGCCATAGTTTCCTATACTTTTTTTCTTAATGCCTATGACTAGGAGTAATTTTAATTTAGCTTCACTACGCAAATTTTATTCAATTTCAATAAGCATTTTCTTACCTGAAAAATATTTCAATATGTTTTTTCCTTAGTAAATTAAATGTTTTCAGATTTAGTTTGTCATCAAAAGTATCTCAAAATATTTCATGACCGATCAGTCAAAATATATGAGTGCGAAGATATATTTGAACTGATTATTCTGTGTGAAGCGTATTACAAAGTACAAGAACCTGTCTCCTTACCAAATATCGTGTTTCCTTTATGTAGCATCCACAACTGGACTGTGGAATACAAATGCCTCCTGTATCGAGGACAAACCCATCTTCACAGAAGCACCCTTCTACACATTGCGTTGTACAGTCTCCATGAGGGTTTGGTTCATCACAGGTTGCAGGACACGCCGGACCACATGTTTTATATATCATGTTCACCGGACAGTCGATTTCTGCGCAAAAAAGAATGTTTGGTGTAATTTCTTCATTATGTTACATTCTGGGATACGTTCGAGGTAAATTGAGCTAATAGTTCAAGGCCACTGCTACATGCACCCCAACATTTCTACTATTTTTTTTACTTTTGCAGTGAAAAAAATGGGAAGGACTTTTCATGTCAAAAGATTTTAGTGTCCTCCATTCACTATACTGTTGCGAATATTTAGAATGTCGTCGAACCTTAATCCAAAATATATCACTGGCTTACCACATGTTGTTCCACTTCGCCAATCGCTTATCTGAATGTTTTCTTTCTGGCAAAGCCCAACAAAACTCGTCAAAACAGCACAACCACTGGCTGCTTCATTGGGTAGTGAATCGCAGAGATCCATCTGACAGGCCTCAATGAACACTTCCGTAGGCAGCGTGCCAGCACACTCTGGTAAAGCATCTATACACAGACACGAAATACAACATAACATTATGAGCCACTGTGCCATTAGGATTGAGGATTGAATTTGAATAAATGTGTCAGACGATCCCAACAATGTAAAACGATTTATTCGTGTATGTGTGAATGCGTGTACAACTGTGTTGAGAAAAGATTTACCGATCAATGATGTACAAATTTCAAGTGCCTCTTCAGCGTTTTCAGGATGCAATTCACAGGGATGATCGTCTCCGTCACGTCGATCCAAATTTCCAATGTTGGTTGCTGGAACACATATCAGGCAGAGACCCCCAACTGTTGCCAAACTCGTTAACACTAGATGCCTGTTCGCAGTAAATAAAAAAAAAAAAAAAACTTAAAATTATTAAAAGCACATTTTTGTCACAAAAAAATTTGAATTGTCAAACATCATTTCGATGTGGTAATACTTGAAAATGACATACTGATGGTATCCATAAACAAAATATATGTAGTATACTGAGAATTATTGTCATATCAACGGCCATAGAGTATGAGGATTATTATCTTTGTTTTACGAAACATTGTTTTTTACGGGTGCCAGCAAATGTGGTCTGAGCAGTACGACAACAACTGGCATGGGCAGACATTATTATTGCTGTATCATCTCAGATATTTTGCTTTTAGCCTTTGACGAATGAGGAAGCATGTACACCAAATGCAACAAGTATGCAAGTTCGGAAATTGTTTGTAACAGCTGTTCATTACCAAACATTTATGTGGAAGTGTTGTATTTCACTTTCAAAAAATTACGTGAAACATGATGGGGTATTTGTTTGACATCACTTAGATTTTCTTGTTATATTCCTTAAATTGATTGCATGTTATATATAACATTCGTTCGCCAAAGTGTTCAAGCAAACGTCGAATATGGAACATTTCGTACTTCCCAGTTAGCTGTATTGAGCGTGTTATAAAGCAGGATTCAAAATAGAATCGCATTTTAGGGTTTTAGGTGTTCTAGATAAAGGATAAAGGTTATAACTCGCATAACAAATTTCAAACCCATATAATTTTTTCGTATTATGATCAATATCTGTAGCAAATTGCAAATTATGTCAATTTGGTTCACAATTATCAAGATAAATAAAGAAATATACATAAAAACAGGCAAAATTAAAAAAATACAACAATTTCAATGACAGAAATATTCATGATTCCTTTATAACACAGAGAATAATTATGTATATTTTCTTACACATTTGCTGTAGAATGATTATTAAGACATGCTAGACATGCGAAATATATATTATACTTACCAAGTTTCCATTTAGCATAATGAAGTCGTCAGCTGAATTACCGTTATATGAACCACATAATCCGCACACCTCATCCATAAGGCCAGAGATAGCCTCAACATTAATCACGGAGGATCCGTCCCAAGACACGCGAAGACCATATCCAGTATTGACTACCTAAGTTAATACATACAACCACATTGTTGACATTATGAATATATTCAATATTGCACTCTTTGTAATATGTGGGAAGCAATCAACAAAGGACAAATGATGATTATTTATTGACGGGTTTGAATCGGATGCACTGTTAAAACTTTACCATTTTATTTACAACGTTTTTGTGTGGGATAGTAGGTCTCAGACGTGAATAAAAGCAGAAGGGTTAGATCCTTCTGTCAACGGAAATTTTGGATTCGAAAGCGAGGCATGAGAAAAAAATTGAATTATGCAGTGGATGGCACGTGAACGCTGGCGTTCTGTCTAACCTCAAAACGCAATCGGGTGTATGATGCCAAACGATGTCTTTGTCATTTTGGAAATTATGTCATTGGAGTTATGAGATGACAATTTCCTAAATACAACTGAATGAATAATACAAGCATAATGATAAGAAACTTACCACATTATTACCAACATAACTGATGGTTAAGTAATCGATCGTGAGCGGTGGATAGACCGTGCCTGAGCCAATCTTGACTTCTTTATTTGGAAGTAATTCTATGACCTATGACATACAATTTTGTAACTTCATATTATAACATCTATACATTCACACACTATGCACGCGGTCGCAGTATTACGGCATAACGCCACGTTGTATCAAGCGAAAAAGAAACACAAATACTTCCATAAAATGTGCTACAAATTTGTTTATTTGATGCTGCCCTCAACATATAGCGTAGCATGCACTGGTCAATATATGCTATTTTATTTTCGCTAGGAAGCTTTCAATCGACTCACCATAGCATATACATAAATTCTGACTTGCTTAGTGTAGGACACAGTTGACCCAGGCCAAGTCAACTCGTTGTCCACGATGACCTTAAAATGAGTTGTACCTCCCAAACAATTGTCCGTCACAAAAACGTATTCACATTCACCCTGGTAATCGTAGTAAGTGTTGTCAAACGTCTTGTAGTGAGGATCGCCAGAACCATAACAGTTTGCTTTACCTAAATGGTAGTAAACGAAATAAGTCAATACAGCAGTTATGATGATATAATTTTGAACTGAGAAGCGCCAGAGAACTTACTTACGTTATATCCATTTCACATTTCGCATAAAAACGTGTATTGAATTTGTCAATTGATGTTTGTCGTCTTATTATTTTCTGGATTTGATATGTAGAATCTCTGAAACATGGTTTCACTATATTTTGAAAAAATACGTGACAATCATCTACCTTTCAATCAAATCAGTGAGGCAGATTGTTTTGCTTGATCAGTCACAAACATGTACACAAACTGGATATCGGAAGTTTAACAAATCACTTAACATACATTATATTCGTATATACTGTATATACAAACTGAATATTTTAACGAATTGCCAAACATGTACACGAACTGAAAAATTATGTTAACTGCTCCTATCCGAAATAATTTGCGTAATGCAGGTTCACGTCCCCCTTTCTGTGGGTTCTGCTAGTCCTAGATCTACAGCTTCTAAATCGCATAAGACAGCGCAAAATTAGCGTGGGCTAAATTTTAAAATCAAATGACTTAATTTTTCACGATACATAAATCAAATAGTATATCTCATTTATTCGAGTAATTTAATATCTGACATATATATGGAAAGATTACCGTAACATTCATCAATATATTCAGGACAGCAATTTCCCACTCGTTCGCACCCAGCGCCACAAAAGCAGTTACGCTCCTGGAGTTCTTGGCCACAGTTGCCTTTACAGAGTCCTGTGTGTGATATAAAATACAACAATAAGAATGGCATAAAATTATCTCCATTTACTTGAAATGTGTTATTACACATACTTTCTCAATGAGTCGATTTTAATTCATATTTATATATATGTATAAAAACACGTATAGTCTAGTATCAGGTTATCTGATTCATAAGTTCGCCTGCACATGAACGCAAAAGGGAAAGAGGGGTGGAGGTCGACGCGAATACAATCAGCATATATATCCAGTTATAACGGATATTCGACTATATCAGTTCCGGTTTTGTATTGAACATCTTGTTACGCATGCACGCAGGTTAACTTAGGAAAATTACGAAATGTATGTTAGTATGGAAAGCTTATCTTGAATTTGTGAACACATTAAAGCAGGACAAAATATAATGTTTATCGTATTGGTATCCACACGTGCATTGTGAGGAATCTTAGATGTGCAACATCCAGGGTCATGTATTCAAATCGTGAAATACTGAATAAAATTGGCCCACGAACTGATTTTTGTTTTCTGTCGCGGTTTTGTAACTTAGTAATGTCAGGAATAAAATGGTAACAATAACGAAACTCGAAAATATGTGAATACACGTTTGTTTCGCGTTTCTGCAAGATGACGTTAAAACACTTCACGTATTGGACAGCATATTGATCCGTCTCCCGGGGTAGAACTCACAGCTGTACATGAATGTCCAACAGGACATGAATTAACGAATGGACCGGTGGGCCCACCAACAGGAAGGTCACAATATACGACCTGACCACCTGCATCAGCGTATGGATCTCCGTACGGACAAGTCAATGCTGTGACAGAAGATAGACAAGTTTAAACCAGGAACAACCAAGTTTAAGCCGAGAATGCAGAATTGTTGATTGAATTGCCTAAATGATAATAAGATGATATGGTTACACACTTACTGACACCACATGGATATATGCCATTAACTTCCACTATGTCGGTTGCACTAAGACCATCTCTCTGGCCAACTGTTCCGCCATAAGTTTGCAGTAATGTCATCGTGGGTAAAGCAGGATTTATTGCAAAATCATACAAACCATAGTGCATTAGTGAGCCATAGTCATATGCAGTGGATTGGACATCCATAGAAGCCGCTGTTTCCTTGTTGAATTGGCTGTGATAATCTGTTCGTAGGATAAAAATGAGTATACATGACTCAATTTAACTTAAAATGTAATAAGTTGCTGGAAACCCATGATAGCTATAAAAATTATTCCCCTGTGCTTAATTATCAGTGCGCACAATCGCTCTTTCTGCGTGGGGGAGAGGCAAGGAGTGACAGTGGGACCCATAATATTTGCGAATTATTCAATGTACCTGAAATGCATCTTTTTTCTGAAAGTTTCGGAGTACGATATAACAGATTTCTATATCGTTAGCTTGTTTACTTAACTAGTATATGTTACAAATGTGTATGCAATGGTGGAATAAAAATAGTTTAGTTACATACTAGGGTCGATGTTGTTCCATATAATCTCAATGTAGGCGTCTCGGTCTGGTCGAGATTGTTCGTGGAAAAATCCCAAGGCGTGTAGAAATTCGTGCTGAATAATTCCCTGCCACCAACAAGTTCCTAAAGGTCCGTTATAAAGTGACATATCCTGCTTTCCACCAGTCTTTCCGAGGTATGACCAGCATCTGCATTCAAGTGGAATTGATTTGTACATTGTCATTTAGAGTTGAATGTTAGTTAATCAATAATAAATATTTCGACTTGACAAATATTGATAACATAAATATGATTATCACACCACACTGATGTTACGTCTGCTGTGATTGGTTGAGATTCTGTCGCATGGAATATTGCTAGCCATGTGGATATTACATAGGTATATCACATGGATGTCGTCACTGAAACTACTGCGCAACGATAATGCGCATAACAAATTGTCGTTCGCTGCACTATTGCTTCCCCGGCTGTGCTTTCGGGGTTGTTTTCAAGATTTTGGAGTAACTTTAGCCATCCGAAATAGACAGAGAACGTGCCAGAAATAATATTAAGTAAGATGAAGCAAAGAACTACGTCAAAGTCGCCACTGACACGTTGCAGCCGGATCGCTGCAGCGCGTTCTACGCTGTGGGCATTTCTACGCGCTCCACGCTGATGCTAACCGAAAACGCTCTAAGCCAAATGACTTGTGAAAGAAGGTGTAGTACGTTCGTGGAAAAATAATTTCAGTCACTTCCACTGCACTCTGACATTTTTATCTGGCGAGTGGTAATCTAACTCGCGTTTGAAAATTTCTGAAATCATTTCAAAAATATTATAATCGGCAAATTGAGTGGTTTACACTGCTGAAACACGGTTACTAAAAGTCTCCGTGGTTGAAAATAGCATTTACTGTGTATTTTTTTCAGTAAACATAGTATGTATGCTATTGAGTATCTGAACATATTCCGAACTTCAAAAATATATATATTTACTTTTTGGGAGAGCGGGCGTATGTGATGTTTGGTAGATGTGAGTATGCATGTTGGATGTCTGCTCGATGTGATAAAATAAATAACACATGATCATTCGGGCAAGATCACGATTTGTTGTCTGCCCTCGGCTCTGGCATCATCAATATTATGGTCATGACCACAAACCCCTGGGTAGGCAAAAATCGAAATATTACCCTCATCAACATGTGTTATTATTTAACTCTAAGGGTATCCTCATCTTGCTGGGATAAGCTCCATAAAGCCATTTGAGCGATCTAATGAATGGTTTGATATCAAATACTCACCCATCCCCATTAAAGATACTAACATAATCGGTTGCCACTCCTTCCACGAAAGTTAAACAAGTTTCTGCTTCTAAATCCGCCAATGCAGCTCGTACGATACCTTTACCATTGTCGTCTGTGTGAATGAAAGGAACTAAATTTTATACTGAACTCCTTTCACAGATTAATTGGTCTGTTGTCTTTGCTCATGCAATATTACCTTGTTAATTGGACATTACTCTACACACAACCAACAACGTGCACTGTACACGATTGCAAATAGTCAATATACCGCAAATCATGGATTCTCAATGAATGCAAGCGAAACCAGTTAACACCAATTAGTGTACCTACTGTTTTTTGTCATTTTCGAGCGTAATTCATTCCTGGATTTTAATTTGTGAGTCCTTCACGAGATGTAACAAGGCAATCAATGAAATGATACCATCAATATAAAATAATGATTACATATGAAAATATTGAGATATTTGCATAATATTTACATAAACTGTTGTAAATGAATAAACAAACTAAATTTGTTTAACAAACTTTTCTAATTTATTTTTGAATATTATGTGTCTGCAGTAGTTCCGATGTACATCACACTCCAGGTTTCTTTTGAAATGAATGAAATTGTGAATGACAAGAAAACTAAATCAACGCAAATTAACAGATTAAATTACCTAATGCGTTATTAGTATCAAAGACGTAGTTCACTACATTATTAGGCCAGTATCTAGAGGTCACTGTTGTGACTCCCCTTTTTCTGAAAAAGAAATTAAGAAAATGTTTTAATGCAATTGCAGTGTACGCAGTGTTTAACTAAATACTTATTTACCATTGCAAAGCAAACGTTTAGAAGATTTAAACTTTATCTATTGTAATTATTTATCTGCAGAGAGAATGCTGCCGAGGACACAATATAATTTGAATTGAAGAGTTGCAATAAATTGTGCATTACTCATCAGAAAACAGGGGCATTCCTGCATCATGTCTTCTTTGTTGTTCTTCTGTCAATACTATATCCCCTTGAAATAAATCTATAAAAGAAAATATGAGGTATTATAATATAATGATGGTGTCCAGGATTATCACGATTAGTTGGCCAATTAGAACTTCATCGAGGCTGTTATATTTATTTTTCCTTGGTTTATTTCATCAACGCGATGACTCTTATATTTTGTACTGAGTGCTATAAAATAATTGATTGACAACCGATCTTTTAATGGGAGCGTGTAGATCCCGCGTTGCGTGTTCAATTGGATATATATTGAAAATATATCACAATAGATTTCCTTGAACAACTATGATTATATGAAGCTGGACTAGCTGAAATAGTAGGAATAATTAATACGTAATTTGACACACATTTACATTTACATTCTACTTACCCAAACCTTCATTGATTTTTAAAATATCATGCACGTCAGGATTTCTGATCCGTCTTGACGCTTTTGCGAACTTTGCATTTCTATTTACTCTATGTAAGATGTCCTCTGGAAAAAAACGTAGCATTTGGTATGGACAATTTAGTAAACGACCAACCGATAAGGTAATTAAACGTATCTTCATTAATGTAGGTAGATACAGTTACTTTTAACACTCCTGAGAAATGTAGAACGTTAACTAATACAATTACCTGTGTCTGAAACTTCACACAGAAATGATTGAGCGCTTCGACAATCATTAAACTGCCACTCGAAAACGTTATCATGGTTTCCAACACCTATTACGCACTTAGCCTTGTTCGCAGTAGATTGAATCCAGGAATAGTCTTTCTTGTCATCGTAATAAATTGCTTTTTCAACCTGTGGTGACATCCCATTATGATCTGGTTTGCGCAATCCAATCCAGAGCTTGAGACCACTGTGTATGAGAGGAGTTATAATGGAACAAAAAGTCATGCATGTGACGTTCATACTCTTCAATTGCTTTCTCGCTTATATAAATATCACTCGTAAATACGGCACAACACAAGTTAATAGTGTTTCATACAGAACAAATGTTAAAATAAGTTGGGGAAGACCAACAACGCTGTGGAAGATCATTATAGCGACATAGCATGAAAATGAGGCCAGAACATAACATATACTTCCATAGCAAACGTGGTATAATAATAAAATAATGAAACAAAAAAAAAATCATAGCAGAATAGAACAGAATTGTTTTCAAGATCGTAATCAATAAAATAGGTAATATTAAATATTGAAATTTCTCATTTAATAGTATCATTGTAAATTTACTAGACTCCGAAAGGACCCATTTAAAACAAAACTAGAGGCCGAAAAGAAATTTGACATCAAAAGCATGAATAGCAAGTTTAGAACAGGAGAGTATGGGAACGCTGTGAGAGTATGAGAACAGCAAATAACGGTAGCTGCATATGCAGTTGACATATGTTAAGCCTGCCGAAATCTGTTTAACTTTGTTGGCCTGTCAATGAAAAAGGAAGCCATATTGAAAGGTCATTACAATCCGTAAACTGAAAGACGGTCAAAACATAGGCAAACCGAATGTGATACAGGTCAAATGCAAATATACGAATAAGAGTACAAAACGAAATTATAAACACACACAAGATTTGCACTGCAGGCAGACGTGATTTGCATTGTAGGCGGAAGTGATTTGCATTGTAGGCGGAAGTGATTTGCATTGTAGGCGGAAGTGATTTGCATTGTAGGCGGAAGTGAGCACACTATTCATGCAAACAACAACTGCTCGAAATAACATGTTAAATGCATGTCACAAACCACACGTAGAAAATAATCGTGCATTTATAATAAGCCAGATATTTTATGAGTTTTGCTAAATAAATCTTGATAAATTTAAAACTGCAGTGTGCACATTTTAAGCAATAATCCAGCAAGTATTGAGCGAATTATACACGATTGTCGATTCCCCCCGATCCCTCTGAATAGATTGAATGTTTTTTGGTGGATATTCGCTAGACTTAAAACCCTACAAAATATTATTCATTGATAATTTGTTATCCAGAAGATACTCTTACACTGAAGATATAGTTATTTCAAACACAGTACAATGATAATATCATAATTACTTTTTTGCAAGTACGTTAACAGCATCACGAACGTGTTCACTCTCGAGAACAGCCAAGTCACCTCCAAGTTCTTGACATTTGCTCCTAGCCTCTGTCCATCCCAGAGAATAGTCTGGAACAAAATAACATATTCCAGGCAAGTTGACGTCACAGTCTCCGAGTACAACAGAGAAACCTAGATGGATGAAATTAAATAGTTTCGTATTACTATAGGTTATGAAAAATATATTCACTGTATATATGCATAAACAATCAGATAACTTGTATATCTGGGGGATACAGTGTGAACCTGGTAAAATAAACTTTTGCTTTTGGGAATGTACAATGAATTAAAGACTAATTTAAGAGCGATCTGCATTTTAATAATGTGTTCTAAATACAAATTTGCTGTCTGTTAAATGGGATACCATTAAAGGAAAACAATAACCACATATCTTATCAGGAATGTCTTGAATTATATAATTATAACGAGTATCCTCCGTAAACATTTGTTATTCGAATCCGCGAACAAACATAATATATAAGAAAGTGTATATAGTATAGGAAACTGCACAAGCAAGCACACAAGCAACAACCAACAAACCAACCAACAAACAAACATACACCGAAATAAACAAGCAAGCAAACAAACATACAATTAAAATGTTTCGCGCAATTAAAGTTGAGTAGCATTTGCTTTGTGAGGTGAGACATACATGTGACAAATATAAATTATATTTCAGGAAGGTTCGATTACAACCTACTGTACATTTTAACATTAATACGAATAATGTTATTTACTTTCCCAGGTGTATTTTACATACTATAATGCACATTGCCATACAGCATCGTCATTGTGTTTACGGTTACTTGGCGATATCCTAACATACTGTCATCTACTATATACAAGGGATTGACCGGAAATATGTAGCTGTACCAGGGTATCGTTTCTCATCTATATAGTATTTAGTGTAACGGACACAAGCGTTTTTACAGTTGATCCTATTACACTGGGAATACGGACAACGTTCTTACCTATGAAGGCTCCTAAGCACACAAAAAATATCATCCGCAAGGCTTCCATGACTTCCAAGAGAGAAAAGAAAAATTATCAGATTCGGTTATTTCGATAAAACTGTAGCACGTGATATTGGTGGTGGATTATCTATATTTTGCCAGATCCATTGGTAGTCATACAGCAGAGAAAGTAGACACTGAAATATCAACTTGCAAGGCAATTTTAATGTGGATTGTTGTACACAACATAACTACGACATACACTTACCTGTTGAAAGCACGTCTTGCGTTTAAGTCGACAGAACACCAATTGTTTGACATAAACCTAGCAGTGTTCTTTTATCATAATTTTGAGTGAAAAACATCTGTTGTTAAAATAAAAAGATGAAGCTTAATTATTTTGTTTTTACGTTTGAAGTAATTGTTTACCCCCGTGGTAAATTTGGTTAATCACATATTACCGGGATAATGTATTCAATCCTAATGTGTTCGCATCACTCATGTTTTTGTTTGTCTACTTTGTTTGTCCTTTTGATCTCTGTAAAACATATTGTTTAGTTCACGCATAATGTTCAATAAAGTACAACGTGGTCGTTAGTTCAATTCGCGCATTTCATTATAGTGTCACTAAAAGTGCATTTCGTGCATCAAAATACGAGGCACAATGTATAGAGGTAAAGTCATGAAACAATCCATCAATGAACGTATAATATACTTTAACAACCTTTCAAAGTGTTTGCTTTGATATCTTAATATCTCTGGAATAACCCTACTAGAAGCAAGCAGTCCACACAATTTTGGTCTGAACACAAATGATTATATATTAAAGGTTTCCATGGTTACGCTTTACGTAACACAGCCTCTCACGATGTTCTATGACAATTGACATTTGTCTTCATTTTCAATATACTCAAACATAATCCAGAAATGCACATAGTACAATTAGTTTAAATAATGGGAAGTATATAACTTGGACATGCACTAAAGTTTTCTCCATATTTCATATCAGATATTTGTATGCAATGTAACCGCGATGAATACTTGTATATAATTTATCTAGGCGATAAAGTTGTATTGACCGCGCTAATAAGGACAAAGGCTAATCTAAGTTCACAAAGGTTATTGTACGTTCCCTTGCTCGTCCATACATAATGATAATGTATAATAACGGAAGTTATGCACAATAATCGGCATTAATCACACATTCATCCACGAATGTAGCCCTCGTTCCTCCGAAAAGGGCAATTTGCATTGGTTTTTGTGCAGATTTCAAATTCCTGCATAATTCAAGAATAGTTTAATTCTGAGAGGTATTTTATCAAAAACCAAGTGTTTTAAAATGGCGAACTGACAATAATAAAAAAGTTCAGTGCTATGAAATTCCATTGGCCTCATTTTGGGTATAATAATGAGTTAATTTTAACTAGCAAAATCACTCTTATATTTTTAAAATATAGGTACTTTGTTCATTATCTGCATTTTGCTTAATAACCGTTATACATAAGTGTAATTGTAATATAAGGGAATGCAGCGAGTAGAGTAAAAAAAGCCAGCGTTTAAACTTATTGTTGCTGTCGGTGTATTCTATGGATGACACAGCCAAGCCATGTGTATTATTTACTTACTTATAGCGCATTTTGAGAATGTAAAGCGAAATATGGAATGAAAAGTGGTTAAAAGTCTTAATTTAGCAAAGACATATTTATATTTAAGTAACTACAAAAGAT